CAAAAAATCCGAATTCGTCTATTTTTGAGAAATCAAGATGAAGCCTTTTTTTGAATTCCCGCGAAAATCAAGACTTCCGAATTTGGAGCCAAATTTCAATATTTCAGTTAATTTCAAGGGATTTTCGGGAAAAGTGGCTTCTGGAAACTTTTAGAAAGTTGTCGAAAATCAAAAAGTTACCGTAAGACCTGCATTAGAAGGGCCGGCCCTTCTATTTTTCCAAGGCCCCTCCGGAGGGCCCTTCGATTAGAGGGGCCCTTCTAATACAGGTTTTAGGGTACAATCTCAATTCTTGGAAAAAAGTCGTTACTTTTTAATTCAAAAATTCAGGAGGATTTTGAATTTTTTGAATTTCAACATCTCGGAAATTCAAAAATCAATTTTTCGAAATCCCACTGAAATCAAAACGGATGAAATTTCAATGATTTTACCATAGTTGTGAAAATATCTCAATCATATTTTTTTTTCAAAAATCTAAACTAAAACTAAAAATCCATGGCCTAGGTTCTCAATAAATGCCCTCAAGGGGCTCCACACAAGAAGATCTCACATCCGTTTTTTTCCATCTTAATACATTCGCCTTAATACATCAATTGCATACATANACACATTCCCCTTTTCATCCACCATTCATACACACATCCCAACGTCCACCCTGATTTAATTTGTGTGTCAAAAGACACGCCTACTTTTCCCCCTTCTTTCCCTAACTTTTTTTCCTTCTACCAAAACGGCTTCTTCTCCTTCTCCTTCCAACCATCATCAGTCAGTTTTCTCTGTGGCACCACGTCTTCTTCTCCTTTGCCTTCTGAATAGACGTCAATTTACCACCACCCTCCTTAACTTTGACCCATACGTACTTTTGTTGGTGGTTTTTTCTGCAAAAAATTACAAAAACGACTTTTGTCTCTCTCTTTTTCTGCAAAAAAAACGTTTCCTTGTTGACACTTTTCCTGTTATCGGCGACACTTTTTTTTGTTTTAATTTGGCATGGCAATTGGAAACTGTAAAATAACTGTAAAATTTCGAAATTTTTTGAATTTTGAACTTTAGAAATTACTGTAGATGGAACAGGTGAAGGATTTGCAGTGGAGCAGGTTTATGACTCAAAAGTTTTGAGACGAGATTCCCATTAAAAATTCCCTCAAAAAATATTCCGGACACAAATTCTCACTAGTGATAAGACGAAGTTAGTCAGCCGTTTTTTTTCTTTTGGTAATCAGATAAAAATGGAAATCAGTGATGGGATGCCTGATGACTTTTTTACCTCGAAAAAACCCTAATGCGATTTTCGTTTTTTTTTTCTCCTCCTAATTTTTTGGTTTCCTATTAGATGTGATGCCGATTTTAATTTTCCAATTTTGCAGGTTTTTTTTGGCGAAAAATTTCAAAAAATGTTGATTTTCAAAATTTAGTGTCACTCAATTCAAACGAAATTATCTCCATTGCTATAAGAGATTTTCGAAATTTTCCAACTATTGAAATGGTTAGAATATTATGGAGCACATTTCAGTAGTTGACAGTTTTCCGTTACCTTTCTAGAAGCCCAGATAATCGCTTTCAATGTTGTGGTGCAGTAGATGTTTTCAGACCTTTGAAATTATTTGGCTTAAATTCAAAAATTCTGAAATTTTCAGTTTCAATCATTTTTGATTCCACTTTGATATCTTCAACTTTTTCACATTATTTAGCTCAGGTTTTCAAGCTCCAGCTGGCTCCTCCAAAAGTGGGCGGAGTTTGGGAGCCTTTTAATCCGAAACTAGGTCATTAGATTCTTAAATTCCTAATTTTCAGCTATTTTCTCGATCCAGAAAAGGCTTAGCTAGGTTGTTCTAGCTCTAGCTGGCTTTTCCTAAAATGGGCGGACCTTCGCAGCCTTGTTCTTCGAAATTCGGCCTAGTCAAGAATATCAAATACTACTGTAGTTTTGTCAAGTTGGATCATTTCCAGCCCCATTGAGATCCAATTTCTTGATTTCCCACTCTTCATGCCTTTTTCTAATAGCTCAGTATTTCTAGAAAAGTGGGCGGAGACCAGATCTTTTACATCTCGAAATTCTAGAATTCCTCTTTCTCGATTTCCCTAGTCTTCCTTTCTCGAAATTCCAAAGCATTTCTAGCGAAATTGAAAGGATTCCAGAGATAAGATGGCTGAAAAAAATCATATAAAAATTCCATGTTTCTCTCTCTCTCTCTCTCTCTCTCT